TTGTACAGTGGTATAATGTGCACCTCTGCCTACCCCTTCAGGGATAAAAGGCGTGATGTTATGTATGTAATATAATAATATATAGTCAAAATAGTAACATTTACGTGATATAATATCAATATCACTCATACAGTAGTCAACCAACCAGAAAGAATGCGGTGAAAATTTATATTTCATCGCACAAAACCTCATTGTATTAAATGTGCCATTATATTGTTGAAATTATTTATTTACTGAACCCACGCGTGTATGAAATAACATTTTTTAAAGAATAAAACGTCCGGGTTTCGTAATGTAACATGTTACACATAATTGGTAACAGTGCTTTCATTTCCCGTAGGAATATTAGGAAAGAGGTATCAAAGTTACTATAATTTTAGACTACTTCACTATTATTTTTCATGGGGCTACTTATTAGATAGGTACTTTTATTACCTTGTTGTAAAAACAATTGTCGGCAGTCTTCGCAGTTTTAATCAGCTACAATAATAATAATATATTATTTATTTTGTTATTAATAACAACGACCACTACACATTAACTAGGTACACTATGGACCACTAGATAGATAAAAACTAAATCACTACTTTCAAGACTTTTAACTGAAATTCTGGAGCAATGACCTTCGCTATGAATACGGCTATTAACTATTCTACATTTTCATTTTACTCATAACAGTTAACCAATGAACATTTTGGGTCTAAAAACTATAACAAGAAAGAGACCTAAAAACTATCCGTGCGGAAAGTAGCTTAGCACTCGTTTGCGTTATTTTGGGTGATCTAATTTATGCCATTGTGCGAGTTCCTAGTCGTACTAGAACCGATAAAAGGAAAAACACTTCAAACTAATAAATAATGGATTTGAAATCAAAACATCCACTGCAAGACATCTACTGTATAAATGTATTATGATGGGTCTGTTCCGTAATAAGTTTGTTATCACGATATGAAATTTTGATCCATTTACACAAAATTACCACTTATTATAATGAAAATTACAGAATCAAAAATAACTTACATCTTGAATCCGTTTCTTCTTCAACAATATGAATTCCTCATTCGTACGTTTTAATGAATCGAGTAACGTGTTCCGTTCTTGCATTAGCACTTCCTTTTGTGTCCTTATTTCCGCTAGTTCGGCTTCCATTTCCGTGTTCATCCTTGCCAATATATTCTCAGTTGACTTGCTTCTATTACTAGTCTTCTTGTGCGGATGTAGATTAAGCAACACTAAAAGAAACAACTTTACGACTTAAAGTGAACTATAAACTCGTATCTTAAAAACGCTTATAAATAGGGCTTATTGTCCAAGTGTCAATGTTCCAGTCACCTACATTCAAAACTATACACAATTTAGAAGAAAAAACACTGAACAAAGGAAACACATTATAATTCCATTAACTACCATTTGACGACCAAACCAACTATGAGAATAAGATGAGTCATAGTTTTCGCGCGAATGTTATTTCACATAGAGGTACCGTTTCGAAAAATTTGATAGTTACTGCTAACGCTTTATATTCCAACAGTGTTACGTGAAAAGCACACGTAAGCAACACGGTTGACGAGTCAGTAATTTATTGTATGTAAATTTAACCAAAGAACTTCCACGAAATGTAAAAGTGAAATGGAATTTTACGTCCTTTGTTTGTCAACAACAAAAAGAAACTCAGCTGATTGCAAAAAAAAAGAAAACACTTTAAAAATCGAAACTTTAAGTAAAAATATGTTATCCTTTTCAAACATACCTTCTTTTTCCTTTTGTAGATTCCGTAAGTTTTTCCTTAATTCCTCAGTCTCTCTGTTTATCTTAGCAATAGTCCGTTGTTTGACTGTGAGTTCAGATTGCAACCCTTTTATGGTAGCTACTAAATAACTGTCCTCTTTTAACCTATTCAAAATTAAAGCCGAATTTTGTGACAGTCTGCTTACTGCAGACGATGCCCTATCTGGTTTAATGAAGGTTTGTGTAGATATCGTATGTTTACTCTTTGTTACAGTTTGAGTAGCTGCATCGACTAGATTTTGTTTATTCAACTTGTTCTTCAATTCAGTATTGACTTTTCGATCATCCATCAGCTGTCTCTCAACATCTATAATGTGACTTTCGTATTTTTGTTTCATGTCTCCAAACTTTTCTTGTAACGTCAATAATATGCCCTGAAAATGGTCCTCCTTGTCTTTAAGTTCTTGTTCTAATCTGGCAATACGTTCTTCCAATAACTTTTTCTTGTTATCTTCCACTGTTGACGATTTTGAAGCCACTGTAAGATAATCAAATTTCAATAAACGACTACAAAGAAAGAACTTGAGGCATTAAAAGTATGTGACTCACCGATCAAAGCTGACACAGAGTCTGGATGTTTTCTTCTTAATATCATTTCCATTTCTTTTACTTGGCGTTGTAAGTCGTGTATGATAACTATGTCCTTCTCATGTTGTATGGTCAGATTTTTCCTATCATTCCGTTCTTTTTGAAGTTCCGCTAATATTTTATTTTCATTTTCCTTTATACTCTTTAATTCTGTGCTCTTATTCTCATATTCCTTACTTAGTCTCCCTACAAACTTTTCACATTCAGCTAACTTCAATTCGGCAACATGTTTCTCCTCAGAGATAGCTTCTAATTTCTTCCTTAACGTTTTATTGTCATCATTTAGTTGAACATTTAACAACTCTAAGCTTTTTGCTCTTTCCGTGGTGTCCTTTAATTCTTCTGCCAAATTATCGTGTTTACAACTAACCGTCTTCTTAGGAGAATTTGTAACTGACTTTGTAATCTTATTTGTTTCGCGTTTCTTTGAATCGATGACGCCCGCGGAGAAAGGCCTTAACTTTGGCTTACGGCGTATTTCAGTGTTTTCCTTAGCATTTTGTTTAGCATACTGGTTAACCTACAAACACATTTTACGATTATTACTACGACAAGTACATAACTCTCTGCTTTCTTAATATTTTGCTGTATTAAAATAACATAGATTCTAGAAACTTTAAAATAGATGAATGACCTCACATAACCTCGTATGCTATGTATGAAACATTTAGTACACAAATTATAAATCGACACTAAGTGATAGACCAATAAAGATAAAGTTTAAGCACAAGTTATTCGAGCCATAGCCGTGAAATAACCATTAGATAAATAAATCGTTAAAAACGTGTTTACAGTAAACAAAGTTTGTCATCAAAGTTAAATAACTGCAACTTGGTGGCAACGACCGGGCATGGCGCCCGCGCAGGTCGAGAGAAAAGTTGTCAGGCTGGTTCTATACAAATACAGTACCTATAGATGAGATGACGCATTTTTGCAAATGTTGATCCGAATCTAATGCGTGAAAATAAAATGTAAGAGAATTTGATCGTAAAAAGAATTGCCATGCCATCATACGTTTAGGATTTTATGAGAAGAAGATTATGTCTTGATTAAAGTAGTACCTAATTAACTTGTATTTAAACGACCTCTTTTATCGGATTGATTTATTTATCTGGTGTTGGTGCGTACTGGAAACAACCATTATAGACAAACCTATTGCTTCTAATTGGTTATAAAATAAATTATTGTCAAGAGACAAAAGTTATACTTTGCTGCAGGAGCTGTCTCTATTTAATTAAATGCCGACACACAAATAGCATAATCACCATTAGAGTAGTTAAAACATTAACATACTAATGAAGCTCTGGAAGAAAAAAAGAATGAATGTGCAAATCGCGTAACCTTAAAAGCACGTACCAAAAATAATACTGAGAAAAAAGTTAAGAATTGATAAGGCTTTGAACTTTTAGATTGTCATGAGTAGGACTTACAATATTATAGTATAATCAAGTACATACATCTTTAAACAAATTACGTGAACATATTTTTCAGAATGCCTACTTATGTAAGAACACAATGATTCACTCCGTATTATTAAATCTGGTCAAGTGTAGTTTGTATCTAAAGTTATCAGTACCGGCATGTTTATCGGAGCTTAAAAGAGGCAATCGATGTGCGCAAACGCATCAGTGTGATCACCTGCGGCAGAGCGCCCGCACCGTCAGTAGCCATGGGGTCCTTGACGAAGACAGTCGTGTTCCTGTGCGTCGCATCCTCCGTGTTATGTACCCCGTTCATCAATAAACTACCGCCAGGACAAGGTACGAAAGGCTCAATTTATTTAATAAGCTTATTTGCGTATTTCAAAAAATGATGTAAGTACTTAATTTAAAAAACACTAGGCACATTTTACAATTATTTTAATCAAAACAATAATTCAATCGATTATAATGAATTAGATTCAGTTGACCTAACTTATTATTTTCCATCATTTTAACAGTAAAAAGTTCAAAAAGTAAGGACACGAAAGAATACAAATTTCATACATTGTTGTATTATAAATATAGTCATTACTTATTCAGCCCATCTCAATTCAGTGCACAATGTTGCCTTCGAAATGCGTGATCAAAATCTATTATTGAAAGTCGCGGAAACCCTTGGGTAAGTTCAGTTCAAGTTCGACATACACCGTTAGACCGGCCAAGATCAGGCCAGCCACGAATGGAAAACAAGCCGTGGCCAGAGAAAGTCATTAAACATGTCACAGGAGACACGAGCCATGCATTCTAATCTATTCTATTATCAATTCGTTAGGTGTCGCTATCGGTACTTAAAAACTTAAAACATATTATAGTTAGTGTTCGCATCCGCAGTAAATTATTGTAGAAATCGCTCACACCTTTTACGTGTTCTTATTCAAATAAAAAATACAAACGTTTACACTCAATGTATGTAAGTATCGTTGTACCAGGAAAATTGTTTAATATTTATTTAGTGAATCAGCTTAATTGATCTCCTTTGGTTTTTAGTGTTAATAAAAACTCCGAGCCGAGATTTACAGATGCTATTATTCAAAATACAACAGCTGAAGTTGACCTTGCTACTACATTATAACACCATTCATTCATTCACTAAAACAAAACCGTAAAACATCGTGTAAAAACAATGATCATAGTTACTCTGCAGTGAAATAATACAGACAAAAGCATTTATTATCTGACCATCTATACATGATTGTACTCCCTATATTTTAAATCATCTACCTGACAGCAAAAAGCGGCATTAGTGCAAATTAACTATACATTACGATTAAACAAAACATGTGACACGTTGATGATGGATAATAAGTCACGATCATACAAAGACAAATGTAATTGCAACTAACTTATGACCTACTGATAACTACGTTTTTTTTTCAGAATGGCCCAGAAGGAGTTCTTTGAAACAACCATTTAATCAAGCCGAATCTGCCGAGTCTTCAGAGGGCGCAGTCACTAAAAATGAAGAAACACTCGTTCCTGCCGTTGTTGAAGAGGACAAAGCTACTGATGACGATAAACCTATAGAGACATTAAAAGATGAAGTCGAGAGAATAGATTACACGGGTGCCCAAGTATGGAAAGTGTCAATAAAAAATAGCGCTCAACGTGTCATTAACCAATTAGCTTCTGAAAAATGTAAGATTCTAGTTTGTCATTGTTTAATAATTTCTTTGTACTTTTTCAGTTGACTAGCAAATATTAATAGAGTTCAATTATTTTGCAGTGATAGCTTCATGGGGAGGAAATCACTCATCAATCGATATACTTGTCAAGCCAAAAGCTCTAGAAAACGTAACAGCTGCTTTAAAAACAAAAGACATTTCATATTATGTTATGATTGAAGATTTGCAACAAAGAATTAACGAAGAAAACCCACCTTTGGATGAGAACGAATTGGAGCTTCAAGATAGAAGAGGTTTGTATTGCTAATGAAGTGATCTACTATGAGCTTTTTTAAGGGTATAATAACAATATTCCAAGGGTCGATGTAATTTTGTTCCAGCAAGAGCTTACAATTTTTGGCGTTACAGGGCATCTCATCGCCGACTAGGTTTCATAAGTGCCTACATGGGGTACAATTCTCTCAACCTTCCCATGGAGTATTGGCCAAATGCGAATTGGGGTTCGTTGTTGTTGTTCGGCACCGAATCACTATTGTTATGCACTTCTTTGTTTTAATGAATTCGGTTCTAAATTCACGTGGCGTGTCTAACTTTTTGGATCTGGAATTTATCTAACAGTTTATTCTTCTTTTAATTCCCTAACAGTTTTCAAATTATATTTTTGGAAGGATTTTCTTTTCGTCACTAATCTGGAGCAAGAGGCCTCGCAAGTTGGGAGAATCGTGTGATTAAACGGAGTTTGTGGAAGATGGTCGAGATGTGCTCCTACTAAGTTTTAATGTAGACTCTAATTTCAGGTCACCGTATGACATGGAAGCAGTATCATAGACTGGAAGATATTCACGGGTTTATGGACTATTTAGCAAAAACCTACCCTTCTATCATCAGTGTGAAGACTATTGGAAAATCCTACGAAGGCCGCGACCTTAAGGTAAATAAAGCTGATATTATAGTTTCCTTGAAGTAAATAATCAATATTATGTTAATTGCATCAAACCATACAAATGAAAGAACGAATTTACGACAGACATTGAACAATTTAAGTACACCAATGATAGGGTAGGAAAGTATGCATTTTGTTTTAGCAGGAAAATGCGATTATAATTAAAATTAATAACAATTAAATATGTTCATCTAAATTACATTAAATATGAATGATTTTTCGTACTAGCGTAGTAATGATATCAGAAAAATATTATTAATTGAATAAATTATAATTTAATTTGTAACCAGAGGTTTGTTTGTTACCTAGATGTTACGAATCTCAGATGGGAAACCTAGCAACAAAGCCGTATTTATTGACGGAGGTATTCATGCGCGTGAGTGGATCAGTCCTGCAGTTGTCACCTACTTCATCAATCAATTCGCAGAAAACTTTGACGTCGAATCCGATGACATCAAGAACATTGACTGGTACGAATGTTTAATGCCTATAAAATCACCTCATTTTTGTATGCAGAATATTTTCTGAATTAATTGTTTGGTTTAGGTATTTCTTGCCGGTTGTAAATCCCGACGGATATGAGTACACGCACAAGACTGATCGTCTATGGCGCAAGAATAGAAAATACGGATTTGGGGCCGGTTCTTGTACGGGCACAGATCTGAACAGAAACTTTGGGTAAGTTTATGCTAGAAAAGATATAAAATTATTGAATTTTGTCTTTAGGTATTCTAAAACTGGAACTATGGACCGTTTGAAAACAATGTGCTCAAGATTTTGAACCAGCGTAAGGGTGCAACCTGGTTGAAAGTGCAATAACACGTAGCACCAGGAAAATATCTAAATAATGATATTCATCGTGACCCAGTTAGTTGGTGTGCCAAGGCTAACTATTGTGGCCCTGTACACGACATGACGTGCTTATTTCAAATAATGAGAAAAGTTTGTACCTAGAAAACTATTTGTTATGTCACGGAAAATTGTATTAAGTTTAGTTAACTTGTTTATTACTAAAAATTTAAAAACTTTCCTTTTATAAGTTGAGTATTTTGGACCCAGTAATATTGCTCTAAGTTTATGAGTCTACCTTTTGGTGCTATAGAAAGAAAGAAAGTCAAATTCTTACACACGCAATCTATATCTATACATATAATAAAATTGTAGAAAAGTGCTGTCTGTACATTGAAAATAAAAATAAAAAAAATAGCAGGGGCTATTGTTATGTCGATTTCGAACCCAAAAATGTAACTAACTTTTTTTTTTTCTGTTTGTCTGTTCACGCTAATCTCAGAAATGGCTTATAAATATATATATATATATATATTTAACAGGGTGCGGAAAAGGTGATAGTGGTTTTATTCCTCAGATTCCTCTCATTCCAAAAAATTTTCAATTTAATTTTAAACGAATTCAGTTTCCAGTGTACCTATGTTTCGCCATGACAATTAATAAAGCTCAAGGTCAGACTCTAAAAGTTGTGGGTATAGATCTAAGTATCAGCTGTTTTTCGCACGGTCAATTGTATGTGGCTCTGTCCCGTGTTAGCAATCCCAGCAGCCTGTATGCTTTCACCCCCGATGGCCATACGTCTAATATTGTATATAGAGAAGCATTACAGTAAAGTAGGTTTTTTAGCTACCCAAAATGACTGTGATTATGATCCAAATCGAAAATAAAAATAAGTATATATTTAAAGAAAAAAACGCTGCTCATAGTCACTATTCTACGCGAACGAAGTCGCGGGCACAGCTAGTAACTAATAAGGCGAGAAGTTAGAGTTAGATCGTTATTCATTCAGATTCAGATTCATATTTATGGAGGATTCTCAAAAGAGAAAGATACGTCCAGTATACGGTAGTATTTTTTTAATTTTTACGTATTCGTCGGCGGTATATCCGAACCGATACGACCTTCAAACCTTCAAGAAAAGAGCGTATTCCTTTTTAAAAAGCCGGCAACGCACCCGTGACTCCTCTGGTATTGCGGGTGTCCATGGGCGGCGTGATCGCTTACCATCAGGTGAACCGTCTGCTCGTTTGCCTCCTATTCTATAAAAAAAAGTATAGTGCACGTGTACGCACGCACACGGCCCCGAATCAGGCTAATGTTAAATTGTTTTCTGTCCAATAGATACCGCTGGGGAGGAAAAGGATCTTCTACTTATCCATGCAGCGACATTTACCGTGGCAGTGGACCGTTCTCTGAACCAGAATCTAAAGCTATTAACGTAAGTGACCCATCTTTGCTGACAGTAATATGTAGTTCTATAGTACCTAGGTATGGTGCTAAAGAACACTGACACAGAGGCTGGGTAGGCTTTACAAGGTGAAAGGGGTGATATCTTAGGTTTTAGATCTTTTAAATCATAATATTTAAAAAAACAAAAATAATAATATTAACTACTCCTAGCTCTTCAGAAAAGTTTGTGTACTTAGTTAACTCGTCTAGTCCTAACAACATCCGTGAATAGGGTACGAATGTGGAAATTGAATTGTTTTCGTATCTAATATTTTTATGACAATTTATTTAGGTAATAGTAGGTACCTAGGTACCTACATTGTCCAAAGAATATTATTATTAGGTTGGTATTTCTTAGTCAGAAGAACAAATCTACTACAGGTTATCTACTTACAGGTAGGGAGGATTTTTATTTATTTTATTTATTTACACTTCTGTACAATAACATACGATGGCGGACTTACTGCCGGGTGGCATTCTCTAACAATCAACCAATACCCATGGATTTTGTATAAAACAAACTGTATATTTGACAAATGATTTTCGTGTCGTATTACAGAGATAGTAGGTAGGTTGTGATTATGTAGGGTGGAGGGTAAATTCGTCAAAGGTTAAGGGTTGCGGTTCGCGCTACCGTGATATTGTGACTCATCTTGTCAAATTTCAAATGGGGGAATACAACCAAATCAATCATGACTCAAACCCATTGGAAACAATCGAATTTTCGTGTTACGTTTCAAAATTAGTTTCTTATGTATTTGTGACCATAGTTAGTAAATCAGAAAGTCATAAAAACATGCAATATATGGGACTTGCACTCATAACATAAAATAGTGAAATATAAAATACAGTACCTACAGCGGAATGAAGTGCCGTAATGTGCACCACTTCGGGGATAAAAGGCGTGATGTTATGTTGTGATAAAAAACATTCACACATTCAAACACAACCCTATAAGACTAATACACTACAATATATTAACTACCCATGTATTTCACCACGATAATATGTAGACACGATAAAATCGCCCTAGATATTTCATAGAACCTAAGTAATGAAATATGTATAAGGAACATGACATTGCAATCCCTAAGAGACTGAATAGGAATGATTTGCATGAACACACCTAAGTACTAACACTGAAAATTAAACTCTACACACATTAAAGTTTAATTTAATTACATCTGTTGTACAGGATTTCTTCAAGAGCACTGCTGTGAAATTCTCAGCCTATTTGACATACCATAGCTATGGGCAGTACTTGCTGTACCCATGGGGATATGACAATGCATTGCCACCAGACCACAAGGACCTTGAAACCATGGGCAAGCTCATAGCTCAGGTAAGAGATTAAGCATTCAATATCTAACCATTATTCTTATTCCATTAAACTGTCAAACACCGGCGGTCACCGGTGACCGCAACCTATTGTTCTTTAACTCGTAGAGTACCGTCATTATAGACACAATTATAGAACAATAGGTCGCGGTCACCGGTGACTGCTTGGTGTTTGACAGTTTAATTGTGTCTATAATGATGGTACTAACTAAGAGTTAATTAGTTTAAGTATATCAACTACAAATATTACCTATTCAAATAAAATAGTCAACTAATAATTTTTGTTTTTGTTCTTTTAGGCAATCCAAAACACAGGAGGATCAAGCTATCAAGTTGGGTCATCCAGCGGACTACTCTACCCAGCCTCCGGTGGCTCCGATGACTGGGCCAAGTCCCAGAACATCAAGTACACCTACACTATTGAACTGAGTGACACCGGTCGTTATGGCTTTGTGTTGCCAGCAACTTATATTGAACCTGTAGCTAGAGAAAACATAGCCGGTGTCAGAGTCTTAGCCAGATATCTGGGCAAAATATAATCTGTATTGCATACTGAGTATGTATAAATTATTTATAACTTAAAAAACATTCCTACTTATGAATGTACAAATAACTTAGGACAATAGTCTCATTATTCAAATAAGACTTAAAAAAAAAGAAGGCTGAATATAAGAAATGTAAGGCTGTTCAGCAATATAGTTTTAAGAATAAATATTTTCAAAATATTCTGTTTTTTTTCTGACATGTAGAATCATTTTATTTAAGTATATCATGCATTTACTAGAAGAGTGGATTGTAGGTAGAATAAATAAATAAAAAAATTGGTCTGCAAGTTGCTTACCTTAGTATTATTTTCCTTATGCTCCGACACATCCTTTTCATTCTCACACGGTTTTGTTATTTTGATTTGGGGAATAACACTTGATTCACTCTTGTTTGGGCTGCAGATACTCTTTGCTATTGACTTAGGACTGCTTTTGAGTAAAATTTTAGTTTCCTGTGCAATATCTTCAGCCCTTTTTAGAATGAAATCAACATCATCAATATCTTCACTTATCACATTGTCAGGCTTGTTGTGTGCCGATAATTTCTTAATTTCGTTAAAAATCATTTTAATTTCTTCGTCATCATCTTTGTACGCTTCACAGGTTTTTTCAAATTGCAAAAATTCTTTAGTCGAAATGCTGTTGCTGTTATCATTCGAACCAAGTTCCTGAGTAATTGCAATCAAACTCTGTGCCATGACGTTCACAATGTCTTGCACTTTAGTAAGCCTAATAACGAATAAGTGAAATCAAAAGACTCGAAATAATAACAAAATAGCTTCAGCTGAGTTCTTCAGTTATTTTTTTCTAAATTTTATTCAAAATACAACTCTTCGTTGCTAGGCAACAATCATAGACAATGAAATGAAATAACTTTTATAGAGTGGGTGTAGATTAACGAAATTTCGAAAATTACCGGTTTTCCCTGAAAACCCTTGCTTTTTTATAGGTCAACCAAAAATAGTACCAGAGAACGTTTAAAGTGTTTATTTAAATATCATAATTTATATAACTACATAAATATTTACAACTTAAAATTAACTACAACTAAACTATTAAATAAAAAAGAAAGTAAAAGAAAACAACAAAAATTATACCCTTAATTTAGGCGTCAAAGTATTCGTCCGCATCACTATCACAGGGGAAAGTTCCCAGAAGACTGGCAGCATTGCCACGTTGAATGGCAATGCTTATTTTCTGTCCGAAGAAAAAGCCAGCCCTCTGGTCACGTGTAGAGTCGATTAGCCTACGGGCGATGTCTTTAAACACAGAGTGTGCACTGGGACCCCATGGCCCAAGTGTTTCGACCCCAGAGAACTGGTAACACCTAGTAGAAAATGTCAATGAAATTGACATTGACATTTACTAAACGTCAAAATCGACGACGACGATATCAAAGAGTTTACGAGTAGAAAGCAAAGCGAAATTAAATTAGAAATTGTGTATATTTAGAGTAAAATAATAATAAAGAGGTGATTAGTTGTAGAATTTATTTATTAATATTGTGCTCAATCAGTGTTTAGATCGAAAATGTCGGTACCTCCACAGGCGTTTGTAAACAAAAACAAAAAACATTTCCTGGGTATCCCCGCGCCCTTAGGTTATGTTGCTGGTGTTGGTCGAGGGTACGTATTGTTTATTTTTTTGATTATATACTTTTGTAAACTTTAACATATAAATAACCATTTGATTTCCTTTACAGAGCGACTGGTTTCACCACACGATCAGATATCGGTCCTGCCAGAGATGCGAACGATGTCTCGTAAGTAAACCATTTTTTGAATATATTACAACATATTTTGAAATAGGATTTAAGAAGTATGTAATGATTACTACTCTTCTATGTAGTATTTTATAATAAACTTATCATTTTTACTTTTTAGTGATGATCGTCATGCACCCCCTGCTGCCAAACGCAAGAAAACCGAGGAGGAAGATGATGATGAGGATTTGAATGACTCCAATTATGATGAATTCTCAGGATACAGTGGTTCATTGTTTTCCAAGGTATGTTTTATGAGTAATATATTTAAAAGGCTCACCCCTACATGGGAGTCATAACATAAATAGTGGAAAGTTACATTTTACAATGGTACTAAGTGTCGTAATGTGCACCTCTGCCTACCCCTTCGGGGATAAAAAGGCGAGATGTTATGTCATGTCATTTTTATGGCTGTTATTTTTTAAGAAACAACTGAAAATAGTTAGTTCCATTATGTTTGTCTGGCTTAGGTTTATATTCCAGTAAACCATGGATTAAACTGTCAAACACCGTGCTGTCACCGGACCGCAACCTATTGTTCTTTAATTGTGTCTATAATGACGGTACTCACTGAAGTAATAGCATAAACACTGAGTAAAGTTAATGTTTGTTTGGAACAAAATGTGTAGAATTTCAAAATCACCAATCTTAACCATATACTGTTATAGATAGCTTGTATAAATTGTAAGAGTAGTACAGCTATTAATTAATTTATACCTATAAAAAACAATTTTTATACCTAGTAGTAGTATGAAAAGTCTTAATAAAATGTGTATTTTTCATTTTCAGGACCCTTATGACAAGGACGATGCTGAAGCCGATGCCATATATGAGTCTATTGACAAAAGAATGGATGAGAAGAGGAAGGAATACAGGGAGAAACGGCTCAAAGAAGACTTGGAGAGATACCGTCAAGAGAGGTGAGTCCGTACCGAACACCGAGTACCGTCAACATCATTTTTTTTTGTTCCTTTAAAATTTTAATTTAATGACCCCTTACATTTACAGTTAAAATTGTTTTATGACCTAACTAACCACTGCATTCAATTTATCCTTCTTTAGCCATATCCTACTAATATTATAAATGTGACCAGTTTCTATCCCAAAGGAACGCTGGCAAAGCTGCTGACAGAAACTAGTCTAATATAATAGAATCAAACAATATTCCCTTTAAAACTATAATCTTTCTTTTCAGACCAAAAATTCAACAACAGTTCTCAGATTTAAAACGAGAATTGAAATCAGTGTCTGAGGATGAATGGTCAGCGATTCCTGAAGTGGGTGATGCTCGTAACAGGAAACAGAGGAACCCTAGAGCAGAGAAGTTTACGCCGTTGCCTGACAGTGTACTGTCCAGAAATTTGGGTGGCGAATCTTCTTCATCCATCGACCCTGGGTCTGGACTGGCTTCAATGATGCCTGGTGTCATGACTCCTGGCATGTTGACCCCATCTGGTAAGGACTATTTTTGTTGCTTTTTCTTACTCCATAACTCAGCATTCATTATTATGTTTTGTTTCAATTATATGATGGCTTTTAAAAATCTTATATCATTTTAAAATATTATTAGCTCATATTAAATCTCCTTGCAGTCTAAGAAAATGAAAAATCATCATAGAATTGCTACAAAGAGATCGAAAATTGGTAATAACAATTTATTTCTTTTCCTTTCTAGGTGACCTGGATTTAAGAAAGATAGGTCAAGCTCGTAACACTTTGATGACAGTGAAACTGTCACAAGTATCTGACTCGGTAACTGGACAAACTGTGGTGGATCCGAAGGGATATCTGACAGACTTGCAGTCCATGATCCCTACTTATGGTGGTGACATAAATGATATTAAGAAGGCCAGGTTGTTGCTGAAGTCTGTTAGAGAGACTAACCCTAACCATCCACCTGCTTGGATCGCTAGTGCGAGGTTAGAAGAAGTTACAGGTATGTGTTTTTTAAGTCCTTAGTTTTTGTTTATTGTAATTACTTATTACTTACATTAAGTATGACAATATTAAAGCCAATTCATAAGCCATTCATAGAAATAAATGTCAATTATTTTATGTCATAAACAGCTCCAACTTTTAAGTTCAGTTTTGAAGAGTCTGATACTGATATTGGCATCTGTATTAGTTAAATATTTTCATAAAAAAACAAATATCTTAAATCTCTTCATGACCGTGTTAATGTTTTTTTTATTATTTCAGGTAAGGTCCAATCAGCCCGTAACTTGATAATGAAGGGTTGCGAGGTGAACCCGAGCAGCGAGGAGCTGTGGCTGGAGGCGGCGCGCCTGCAGCCGCGGGACACGGCGCGCGCCGTCATCGCGCACGCCGCCAGGAACCTGCCCCACAGTGTCCGGATATGGGTCAAAGCCGCCGATTTGGAACAGGAGACTAAGGTAATAAATTGTACTATTACTATACCTGCTGAAAAATGCAGACAGATTTACTTCAAATGTTAATCGAGCATCATCTTGTTCCTACATGTATCCCAAGACACTTGCAGTCTATGCAACATGTCTTTTTCCGTTCTATCCCATCAGACGCTTTTCTTTCATATGATCCCTTACACAGATTACCTCATTAAACCAGAGTGGGTTTGGCCATTAAAGAGTACCTTTGTACAGACTTACAAAGCACCTGAAGTCCCCGAAGTTCAATATCTGTTTTTGCAGATACTAGACTCATTAAGATACTTGCTATCATTAATATCCATAATTTTTACTTTACAGGCAAAACGTCGAGTCTACCGCAAAGCCCTGGAACACATACCCAACTCAGTCCGTTTATGGAAAGCTGCAGTTGAGCTGGAAAACCCAGAGGATGCTAGGATCCTATTGTCCAGGGCCGTGGAGTGTTGCCATACTAGTGTCGAACTGTGGCTCGCGTTGGCAAGACTGGAAACTTACGAGAATGCAAGAAAAGTACTCAACAAGGCTCGTGAGAATATACCTACTGATAGACAGATTTGGGTAACTGCTGCCAAGCTTGAAGAGGCACATGGTGAGTTTGATTTTATACTTTAATGTCTGACTTGTAGCGTTTAAGTTTTAATACGTCATCTGTTGTTAATAATATGATGAGTTTTTATGTTAAATTCAATTTCTTTTATGCTTTAATCAAATTATCTTCATGCTAAGGGCATGCGAAAGTGCTATTATCGACGAAATTTTCATATGAAAACTTTGTAATAGAAAAAATATCAATTCGTTTGGTTAATTTATTTGCATGAATAAAAAAAGAAGTCATGAATACATAATTTATATAAATACAGATGAATTTCCGTTTGTTAGTTTAACTAAAACTCGAAAACAGCTGAACAGATTTGGTTAATTTTGGTCTTGAAATGATCGTGGAAGTATAGGGAAGGTTTAAAAGGTACGAAAAAATTTTTAGGTGATATGAACCTTGCCCCTCCTTTAGTACTTTAATAAAAATAAGAAACTTAACGAAATAATGTAATAAGTAATAAACTAATTCCTTTCCTCAGGTAACACGCATATGGTGGAGAAGATTATAGATCGTGCCATCACCTCGTTGAGCGCGAATGGTGTGGAGATCAACCGCGAGCATTGGTTCAAGGAGGCCATGGAAGCTGAAAAGTCCGGCGCAGTACACACTTGCCAGGTTTGTAACGAATGTTATCATTTTTTGTTTTAATTGTTGGTATATAGGTACAATTGGGATGATGACAGGGTATAAAAATTAAAAATCTAATTACTCCGTAAGTTAGGTAATGAAAAAATATTAGACACGTATTTTTTTATTTTGTCGTATAATAAATCAATATTTAGATAAAACGAATCAAAGTTTAGGAGTGGGGCTAAAACGTCATTACTACGTATAAAATGTACATAAAGTGACGTCACGCGACATTTCAAGTCAATATATCGTCGAAAGTATTCGTTTCTGTAAGAAAATAAAAAATACGTGTCCAATGATTTAAAATAATCTACCAGACGGACATTAAAATAAAAATTAGGCATCTACCCTATTAAGGTAGCAAGAACAGTTCTAGATAGGCCTACCTAGAAGTCATTGGGAGGCCTATTTTCGTCAGAAGACGTCAAAGTT